GTTGTCTATAGCTACATTTAATAGTACTGGCATTTATTTTGTTTCGTTATTACAATAATTTATTCATTAATTGCCTCGTCTATCTAAGCCAGTACTTACTATGATATTATATTAACTTATTTAACTAAATAACAAAGAGCTGTAAAAAAATTGTAGCAACTAATGCCATAGCCACCTATTTATGTTTCTACTGCAATATCTATCAAAAGTTCTATTTACAAAGTTATACAGCGTATATTTGCACAGCTTTACTCCGCTACTTGGAAAGTGTTTGCTTAAACTTTAACAGTCCAATTGCATCTCAATCTCGGGCGGAAATGTTGAAGCCGCAGAGGCAATATACCGCGGCCCGTCTAGACCCGTCTCCCACAGGACACGTCGACTCGAGCAATAATCCACCCAATTTCTAGTGTACAGCCAGCCAACATTAATTTGATAAATCGTACAGTCAGCGACATAAATATTTATCCACTTACAAAACATTAAAAATTTGTATAGGTCTTGGGTTAAAAAAAATACACGAATACGTCAATAAAATGTTATATAGTCGGAAAAATACTCAATGATGCGTGTATACATATTTTTGAAACTGAAATTGTTTACTGGTTTTTTAAGCTTTGTAAAAGCATTTATGCAGCTGACTGTACATGTGAACGTGATGTCGAAGAGTAAATTATAGCTCATGACGTTTAAAAAGCCCTCTGTATATAGTAACTTGATCTCTTGTGTCATCCAAAGTGAATATTATACCATATTATACCAAAAACGCTGATATATGAAGTCCGTTTATCCGGAAAATGGTTGCATTAGTAAATCAGACTATATATGTAGAACATTTTTTGCCATCAAAACAATACTTTCTGGTCTGTATTTCGGATTTATGGAGGCCATCTTGAGTAAAGGAAACTTATACACGATAAATAGTCTGTATTATGCCTTATTTTATTTCAAACGCAACATGTTTAGCCTTAAAATTGAATTAGTAAACCAGCTGTCGTCTGCGACTTCGTCCGGGCGGTGTTAAAGAAAACTTAATTAGAAGCCTATGTGTTCTTTCAGACTATGTTCTACATCTATGTCAAATTTCAGCGAGTTCCATACGGCAGTTTACGAAATACCTTCAAACGACCATCCAACCAAACATTCGCATTTATGATATTAGTAATATAAAGGAATAATTACATGTTTCCTACGTAAAGTATAAGTTTCTTAATTTTTTTTATTTATAGTTTAAAAATTATGCAATTAGAGGTTGATTGTTCCTAATTTGTAATTGCAAATTGGAGTCTTATAAAGTCCTATTAAACTGTCGTCTAGTAAGTTGTTAATAGTGATCCGAGCGGCGGGTTTCGCTACAATTAATCAAATTATTCAATTATACTCTCCGTCCATGAAACACCTTATTTTAAAGCATTCTGTTCCTTGTAATTCAATGCGCTACGACTCCTAAATGCTATTATTTCTTACAAAGTTAAATCATCGCAAGATCGCGGTATAAAATAATTATACCTATATCATATTTATCTAATTTTCGAATAAATCCATTTTTCATGTACTTCAATAAATTATTTTTACTATTCGAAATAATTTATCATACTTATTTCGAAATAAACAATTAAAAAAACAATAATATCAAAATTCAATATTATATATCTCACTATCTTACTTATATTATTGATAACATAGATGGATAGAGGGATGTTTGTTTGAAATGATGTCCAGAACGGCTCAACGGATCTCTATGAAATTAGTCATAGATGTAATACATAGCCTGAAATACTTATTTAGCTTTATTCTAATTCTGCGCGGACGGAGTCGCGTGCGACATCTAATTAAAGAATTATTTCAGTTCTTTACAAAATTTAACCTTCACTGGAATAAGAGGTAAACGTGTTAATATGCTCGGTATTTAATTAACAATCATTATGTTTCCACGTCACGCTTAAACGTTGACATTACAGCTATTATTTACTTTAGCTGCGACTGAAATACTGTTAATGAACAGCTTTCGTTGAACGAAAATTACGTTTACATAAATCCTTTCTAAATATACGCACAACGAAACAAATGAGTACAAGCTGTACAAAAGGGAAGCCGTTAAATTCACTGAAACAAATCATTTTAATACAGTGTGAAAGTTAAATGAAAAAGGAGAGCTTTTAAAATTACAACTTTCGTTAAAATATATGTTATTTTTTACATTACTTATAATTAGGTTTTGTCTGTTTTCGCTTTATATTCCGAATTATATACCAAAACAGTGTTTTATAGGGAATAATCAGTCAGTTATTACGTTAGTAGCTGTCGCCCGCGGCTCCGTACGAGCGGAATTAAAAAAAACTTAACCTTAACCTATGTGTTCTACCATACTATGTTCTACATCTATGGAAAATTTCAGCGACAAACACGCAGCCGTTCTGGAGATTCCTTCTAACAACCATCCATCTATCTAAATATTCGTATTTATAATATAAGTAAGATTACTTACGTTACTTTAAGTTATTTTAACATAGATTCCTACGTTTGTCGTATCACTAGAATACGAATCTGACTATCCACTATTAAACCATTATTCGTCCAGCGAACTTTAGTAGCAAAAAATCTACGTTATGTTGTTTATCAACTTACTACCACGCGTATGTGTCAACGACATAGCGCGAACGAACGTAATATGTTAATTAAGTATAACCATGGATTTCCACTGACAAAACAACCATACTGACACATAGTATCATCTCTGTTTTTACTAAGGGTATGAGAAGGATGCCAATATGTTTTCGTACGAGTCTTTCGGCAGTGGAAACAAAGAGTACATGACGCTATGTGTTTACAACTCCTTAAAGACACATATAAATTCCTCTCACACTTTACACACACTATAGTACTAGACGTAGTTTCCCGTATTTTTATATTACGCGCTCGAATAGACTGGCACATTGATCGTTTACGACATTATTCGAATTCCTTTGCAGTCTCGACAGATATTGTTTGTAGAGTACGTACGTAGTTCTTAATATACCGACATACAAGTTTGTTTCATTGCAGTTATTAAATATATAAATGGAAGTGCTGTCTCTGAGGAATTAAAATAAATAATGATGTTTATAAAACCTTCACTAAACTTTTATGCATATTATTATATCGTTTTTGACGTACTGAGGAATTTATTGTGACGAAATTAAGTACACTACAAATACTTATCTACTAAAAGCATATTGAAATTCCTTAATTAATTGGCTTTTCCTATTTATTTATTTTTATTTTTACTACATAAACGTGTTAATGTTGTTAGAGTGTTAAGCTTTTTTATTGTTGCGCTGGAATCTAGTCTTTTTTTATACCGTATTTATGTTGTTTACCGGACGAAGGCCAATTCCCGATTCAACCTACGATCGACTCGTTAGTCGGAACTAACTGTCGGTCCATAAACGTAGAGCTAACCACGTGCTGGTCATACCGTTGCCCACAACAGACTGCGATCGAAAGAGACTTACTTAAACCACTTTTCCACTAAGCGACCAGTCGCGCGCGGCCATTTATTCTATAAGCAGGACTGTACGCGACGATAACCTTGATCTATTAAAATCACTAATTAGAAAAGCTTAACAATTTTTTTGCTGAATATTTGAACTGAGAGATTTAGATTAAAAGTTACATTATGAAATGTTTAATTTTTTGTCATACGTCAGTAAAAATTGTTCATATGTATTTGGCGTCCCCACTTTGCTCGTTAAAATAGTCGCGCTAGTCGTCGGCGGCCGGCTCAGTCACTCGCACAGGGCTGTTCGTTTAATGGAAAAGATGTCTTATAAGGCAAGCCTGTACCGGGCGTGCTCTGAATCGGCATGCGTTCATTACCCGACCCTATTCATTACCGGGCTAAATAACTAATGGCGTAGCGTCTTACACGTCTCACCAGTTAGTTTCAATGAAGTCGGTTCCCGTGGACGGAAGCGCTTAGCATTGCTATAAATTGGACTCGGCGATACATTTGATCTGATTTTATAGATTTACTAGCTGTCCCCCGCGAATCCGTCTGCCCTGTCTTAAAAAAAAACTTAATTAGAAGTTATTAAAACTTAATAAGAATTATATGTTCTTCCGTGCCAAACTTCAGCAGGTTCCGTTCAGTCGATCTGGAAATACCTTCAAACAAACATCCATCCATCCATCCAAACATTCGCATTCATAACATTAGTAAGATAAAAAAAATTGCACTACTTTATACGAATAATCATTAATTATGTATAACTAGCTGTCGCCCGCGATTCCGTCCGCTGGGAATTAAAAAAACTTAACTAATAGTCTGTGTTCCTTTAGACTATGTTCTTTACTATGACAAATTTCAGCGAGTTCGATGCAGCAGTTCTGGAGATACCTTCAAACATCTATCTATCCAAACATTCGCATTTATAATATTATTGTGATATCCTATTTATTACTTGCAGAGTTTTTAAGTCGGATGTTCAGAATAGGGATATCGTTGTCTACCTGAGTAAGCTAGAACACGACAGATCTTATGGAGATCGTACACGCCATAACTTACCTAGTGTAAATTCGAGTGACTATTATGTACACATTACAGTTGTTGAAAAAAAAATGACAATCAATAAATAAATAAACCACAATGTGCAAGGTCCCACTTGTTATTTGCAGAACATGTCATTTCTCTCAACTGTCGACCGAACGACGAACAAAAAATATGAAAGACGTCCTTTTAATGTCTTTATTGCAGTGAAACTTAATGCCTGTTCACATTACCGATCTGGTTAATTTCACTCGTAAACACGTCCGACCCACAAATAACAAGAGTAAATCTATACCTGTATGAGTAGCAAAAGAAAGAAAGAGAGAGAGCGAGGGAATACAGTTTTAAAAGTTGTAAACAAGTTTTTTTTTTGTTCAGCGCAAGCAATGTTTTCATGTTGAAATTTTAGGAAATCAAATGAAAAGTAACAACATTAAAATGTATCTACAACTATTATTTTAACGTATTTCAGTACACGGGGGGAATGAGCGGTGGTTGCGGGGGCGGTGGCACTCGGGTGCCTACCGCAGCGTCGCCGGCTAACACTGCATCCTCGTCGTCGTCCAACACGGGCTCGGCAGGCGGCACGCGCTCCACCAGCCTCAGTACGGGACCGCCGCCCGCTAGCTCGGCGTCCACGGGCGCGCCCGGTGACCAGCTCAGTCGCACCAACCTCTACATACGCGGCCTTGGCCAGAATACCACCGATAAGGACCTCGTCCAGATGTGCCAGATGTAAGTTTTACATAATTATCAATTATTATAATGATTTTGTAACTATGATAACGTACTCCATGGCCGTAATTAAATCTGATATTGGGACGGGAAATGGTCCAACTGATTTCTTTTACTCACTTTGACACTCGTTGGCGTTGACCCATCTGATGACCTAGTACTCTTGTTACTAAAACATGCAGTTTAAGACGTCTAATGTATGCATCTGACTGATATCTACAGTAATTGAAAAAGCGGTAGAGTAGGACTTGGAAGCTCTAAAATAATAATTTCTTTCATTGTAAACAGAGCTTAGCATGTTCAATATGTTGTGCTGTTTTATGTGCCCCCTTCTTAAATTCTCTGTTCTCATTTTCAGGTACGGCAATATAATTTCAACAAAAGCAATATTGGATAAAAATACAAATAAATGTAAAGGTAAACAATATTCGTACGTACTCTATCCCTTTCTTACACTGTCATAGTTACTGTATATTTTCTGTATCTACATAATATATGTTACTTCTAGTTGAACCTTATCAGTGCATAGATTCACGTATGTATGTAACGTATAATATATGATATTTAAAATGTTACCGTTTCAATATATTTTTCATTTGAAAAATTTAATTCGTAACTGATATTAATATTTTCTAGAATACCATATATCTTCATTAAAATAATCCATCTATGGTGAGAATTTTTTTCCAATATATGCACGATTCTAGATTCGATTTATTCATGTTTACCATTTTTTCATAAAATATATATCATGATATTTTGATTTTCACGTATTGTTTTCGTAGCGTCATCCACACTTAATGCACCAAAGCACAGATAAATTTCTAAATTTAACTTTACAAAGATGGCACGCGCATCAATCGATGTTCGTTGTGAACCTTTCGCGTTCATTGTCATCCTGCTACTTTGTAGGCAAGTAGGTATCTTTGTGTCAATAGTTTCATAGATTTGTTATATGTTTTAAAATTTTTAGATGTCCTCTATAAGCATGTGATTTTAAATTTGTTAACCGCGGTAAGGTCATTACATTATAAAATGTTTAAACTTTTATCTTCGCAGGTTATGGTTTTGTAGATTTCGAAACGATCGCGTCTGCAGAGGCGGCGGTAAAAGGATTACAAGCGAAAGGTGTTCAGGCCCAGATGGCTAAAGTGGGTATCTGGTTCCTGCGTAGACTGAACCGTGTACGTTGTGCATGCAAGTAATATTATTATGACTAACCGCCTCATCCTAACCCGCTCTCATCCATATTGGTACCAACATTACAGAATCAATTCTTATACATATGCGCTGTCATCAACTGTTTGAGAGGAAACTTTATGACGTATGTATTCAAATTAAAAATAATACGACATGATTTTTACATTGTAAAAGAAACTATAAATTCAACATTTCTATACCTTGAACACACACAGAAATGACAGATAATTGTTACTTTTTAATATTCCTCAAAATAGTTAAATAACTTAGAGAGAATTACACATAAATTAAATGATATCCCAATCCATTTCCCATATTCCGTCTACCATTACATTTAGCATTAGTTTATAATATACTTTTAATCATGTGGCCGTAATATTTGAAAACATAAACAATATATTTACTGCTAGAATCAACACAATAAACAAACAACTACATGGTAAATACTTCCCATTTATGATAAAATCTAAAGATTTCATGATATACTCTACAGCCTAGTGCAGGCGTATCCTTGATAAGATTCCGTAGGTCCAGTTGTAACGCCAGTACACGCATCAATTTCTATAATCGATCCGTCAGTTTGTGTTTGGGGTAACGTGACAACTGATAGTTTGCGCGTTCGTACGTCCGTGCGACGAGAGACTAGTTTGTTGTAAGTATTCGCTATCCTGTCAGTGGTTCGCTCGGCGCTGACATAACGCTTACTTAACTTACTTGAGACATGTCCATCCTGTCGTCTTGTATATCGTTTGCTTTAGCGTCATAACAATGTACTATCGCTACTGGGCTCTGGGTATTTCTATGCTTTCAATATTAAATAGTGTGTATGCGAATTAACCAGCTTCATAATCTCTATATGCTGATATTCCAATGTCGTTAATAACATAACTAAATATATTATAGCGTATTAGATCCTAACCGCTGATTTACAAACTGTCCGAGTTGGCTTCAATGTCTAGATTATCTATGCGGGCTTTGAGCTATTAACAATATTAATACACCTATTCTGAGACAGCCTTTCATCCCTTTGTTGAACCGTTAAGGTGATACTAAATATAAGCAATAGCTTCTTTGATTTGAAATTACTTCTGTAAGGTCTAAAAATAAACATTTCTCACTTTCATACACTGATATTAATTCTATTTTAATGACACTTTTTTTAACACACGTAAATTTCAAATTCGAATTCAAAATTTAAATTCAAATATCATCAAAACAGTTGTAACTGCTGAGCGTGTACTTGATCTGTGCGTTGTGATGCGTTCGCAGCAACAGGAGCAGGACCCGACCAATCTGTACATGGCAAACCTGCCGCCGCACTTCAAAGAGAACGACGTTGACCAACTGTTGGCCAAGTTCGGGCAGGTGGTGTCGACGCGCATACTACGCGACACACACGGCCACAGCAAGGGAGTCGGCTTCGCCAGGATGGAGTCACGCGAAAAATGCGAGCAGATCATTCAGGTAAATTAATATACGTTTATACAAGTTTCAGCGAAATTATCAAGACAATAAATAATTATATTCCTACCCCAATATTCAGACTCAATAAACTATAATATGTATTAATGCACCTCACAGTAACCTTAAAAACAAACCTTACTTAACCAAAAATTGAGCCCTAGACAGTGGTTAGTGCATAATCCTACCAAATTTAAATTCAACCGAATTTCATATAAAGTTAAATTCAAATTTGTGCAATTTTATCGTTGGTATAAGATCGATATGAAATTTAAAAAGTACAATTGGTCAATACAAATATTTTTTTCAATATTCTTGTCAATTAAAAGCAATAATTTTGTTTAATTATCAGATGTTTAATGGCAACTCGATACCGGGGGCTAAGGAACCGTTGCTTGTGAAGTTCGCCGACGGCGGTAGCAAGAAGAAGTCTCTCTATAAGCAGAACGACAACAACGGTCGAATGTGGCGGGATAACAACGAATCCATTACTCAGGTACTACTATAATCAATATTTATACATAGAAAAACACATAGAAAAAGTATATAAGAATAGAGCTTAGCTTATTTAGCATCAGTTTATTTCCCAATGGCTTAGCGAAATGAATACTTTTATTGGAACACTAGAATGCATAAATTTTATGTACATACATTTTTACACATAATATTGCGTTGGTAAGTGAAACAAACGAAGCAACCAAAAACCCTATTTGTATCCCTTTTTTGTTTTTTATTTGTTTATATTTTAAAATTATTTACGTATATTACGTATTTTGTATGATTCTGTTTTTCTTTTCAGTGTTTGTAATATTTTTTTTTTCATTTTAGGAACAGAAGCCTACCTTATAAAGAGTTTTGTTTATAAATCTATTATTTTTATTTGTTTTTCTAATTATGTTTTTCATTTGTTTACTTCTCTATACTATGCTGATGCAAATTGAAGATTTTTGCATTGGCATGAGTCTTTCTGATCACTGATTTTGTTTAATATCATAGTTATTGAGTAATCATGTATACTCTGTATACAGAATGCAAATATTGCCATGTACAACGCAAGACTACCATACATTCATATATTGAAAGTTGCTTATTTTGGCCTGAGTTAAATCAAATCGTCAAAATATGATCTTTGGTCGAAACTTCTAAAATAGAATGTATGGTTTTCCGTCGTTATGTGTGTTCCGGTTAAAGAGTACCCTGTACAAAGTGTGTAAACGTGGTGAAATCTGTAGTAGTGTTAATGAGGTTGTCAGTGATTAAGGACGCGTGGAGACGTTGAGCAGACGGTATGGTTCCAGGCGATGAGCGTGAGCGGCGTGTACGCGGGCGGCGTGGCGGCGGGCGGCGCGGCGGAGTGCGGCGGCGTGTACCGCGGCGCCGGCGTCTACGGCCTCGCCTACCACCCGCAGCTGCATCACCCGCACCCCGCCGCCTGGCTGCCCTACGCCGCGCTGCTGCCGCCCGCGCACCCGCACGCGCACCCCGCGCACCCCACGCACCCCGCGCACGCCGCGCACCCCACGCACCCCGCGCATGCCGCGCACCCCGCGCATCTGCCCATCGACTCTGTGCCCAGCCAATACGTGAGTAGTTACAACATAACCATTTATCGATAGCAATTACTAAACAACTATTGTAAGTACAGCGTAAGTCATATAGTGATCATGTTATTAAGATGTCCGATTTTCTATAGTGGAAAAAATTCTATCTAGTCTTACTTCGCTCGGCAAACAGCTCACGTCGATGCCGACCAACAAGGAATATTCAGTCACAAAATAAAATTAACAAAACGACTGAATCCTTTTCCTTTTCCAGGTAAACTGGGACAGCCTAAGGCCGGAAAATGAATTATACGTGAGTTCTAATATTAAATAGCAAAGTCGACCGCAAACGCACTGCATATGAATATATACTATCTTCCCATTGCTTTGCCATAATCACTGTTTAAATGTTGTTTGCTTTCGAGTTTCGAGGCGGCAGAGGCAAAGAGTTGAAGCGAGGTGTGGTTGTGTTTCAGTACTTCCCGTCGCCGCCGTACCAGTTCTTCGCGGGTCCGACGCCGCCCATCATCCAGATGCCGATGGAGAGCGAGCAGGCGTCGACCGCGGCGTCGCCGGACGAGGCGTACCAGCCCTACCCGACCAAGTAGACGCCGCGCCCGCGCACGCCACTACCCATGCTGTACACGAGCCAAAAATCAAAGCAACTGTGACTTTTTACGATGTTAATTTGTTTTAGTTTTAATTTGCGGCCGTTGTAGACTTCATCGAAAGCTCCGCCCGGTCTCTCGTCGCCTGTTCACTATTTATTTTCTCGTCGGCCCCGCGTCGGCCCCGCGCCGACCACGCGCCGGCCCCGCGCATTCGCTGTGATGTTTTGATGAGGTCTTTTGACGGTTCGAGGAGAGGATTTGATGTATAGATTATAGCTGCAATTTTAAATGTGTTTTGACATTTTAATTTTATTATTGTTTTATGGAAAGAAAATTAAATTTAAGATTTTAGGCGCAGGTTTTGAACAAGTTGACAAGATTATTTAAGATAGTTAGGTATTTATTTTAGCATAGTATAATTTCTCGATTGAATTTTTAAATTTAAACTTGTCCTCGAACGGGAATATACATTTTTATTTTTGATTCAGTGTCATATATAATGTAGGATAACGGGGATTCTTCGATCGCATAATGAACACATCACATCGCGTCTTTATAATGTAGAACAAACCGTGCAATCTTAATTCCTAATCTTGTAAAAAGGAATGCGTTTTATATGATGAATGTATTGGAATGTAAAGTTTTTATAAAGATATAGTTTCCTGACATTTGTCAGGAGTAGGATGAGCAATATCAGAAGCGGTAGGCATGGAAAGATTTTTTGAAATGGTCATATCATGTTAAAAAGTTTATACCAATGAAATTGTAAAGCTAAAAGAAACGACTTATGTGTGTTATGGTTAGGAAAGATAAACATACCGATTAGATCTTGTGCGTAAAATTTATTAAGAAGATTTAGAATCTTCCGTTGAGATATATGTATTTTTAAAATACAAAAGAAAGTTGGTTTTGTCGCGTTATAGTTAGAACGGCATACTATAAACAATTTGGTCGCGAAACGTGTTAGCGACGGACGATATTTGAGCCACGACGTTGTGTTATGAATGGCACTGAGTGTTTGTACGTCCAAAGAAGTTTGGCATGGTGCTCATTTGTTTGGAAAAGGTTCTACATCGATGAACAGTACAGTATTACCTACGTTAATAATTAGATCACCGGTGCAGTCCAAGGATTGCCGGTACCTAATTTTGATGCATCTCATTCGTATTTATCTTTTTACGGGGGTTAAATATTTCGAATTTAACATGCCCAGCCGCTCAAATGTAACAAAAAATTTAAACAAGAAATTATTTAACTATCTGCTCGACGATCAACACGCAAAGTTTTTACGCATTCTCATGAGCTCACACCTCCCTTGTATGCGTAGCTTAGCCACGTCGCTTCGTCGTTAAAATATTAAATGCTTCTTCAAGATTTATGTTGTCTATAAATAACTGAAGGATAATAGTAATTCCTAATCGATAACGTCGTTGCCAAACCCGTCAGACTGAATTGTATACCGTAAACTTCCAATAAGTTATTTCTAGATCCGTGTTTTATTGTTAAAAAATAGAATCGACATGAATTAGCCCTTGGAGCCGTGAAAGGCGTCTCGCGTGCAAGACTCGCCGCGCGGCCAGTGGCTAACAGCCATCGGCCAGCAACGCGGACGACGCGCTCACATCTAGCAATAAGCCGTTGTATTTAACGTCTATTTATACATTTTACGAGTCTATACAAATTTTTGTACGACGAAACTCATGCTCGAAATACGTTAATAATGAGAGTGATACTTTTTTGAGAATCATGTACTGAATCAAAGGCGTAGTTTTTATGTTTAGGCGGTCGGCACATTCCACTAGAGAACTTCGAACAAAAAAAATTCCACGATTGATTTCCACATTATGAGTTGTGATTCGGGGATTCGAAATCCGAAACAGTGAAAGCCAATTTTGGCATAATCGAGCACATTTTGTACCATCACGTAGGTTTTGGGTACACTTTATGACTTTATATGAAATTTGATATTTTTATATTGAATATATATGTATAAATTATACATGGATATGTATACATGTATACACATTGTTGATGGGTACGAAGGGGACCCGCTATATCGCAACTGTTTAATTCTATTTTGGCACGTCGAGAATTCATCAGAACCAAAGTATACAAATCATTAAAGTCGAGTAAGATGTAGGAAAATATTTATACAACTCAGGGACTGAAGACTAGGTAAATGTTTGATATATTAACTGTATTTTAACTGACTTTATTCAAAACCTGTGGACCGATTAAATTAAAATACAGGAACTGACATTAGCTTATAGCAGGTTTTGGATGAAAACGTAGAATTTTGAACAATCTAGTAGATCTGTTTATGTTTCTTTTACATCAGAAATATGCTGAAATTTTACTGTATACGACTTTTACTTTTATACAGCGTAGCTTCTCACTTTTATAAAACAAATTTCAATTCTAATATAAAAAGGATGTTTATTTTAATGTAAAGGAGTCATTTATTAAATTAGCAGCTACAATATTTACGGACAGTCAGTAACCGACTTGCGATTTGCCCCGATGATAATGAAAAGTGAGATTTTTGTTAGAATTACATCCGAAAAAACACCCTGTAGATCAGTTTTATATTCTTATAATTCTGAATCGAGCCAAATTTAGTATACTGTACACAAAACCGCCTTTATATGTTGTAACAATTGACTACTGTGTGTAATGCATCGACGACCATGTTTGGTGCTGGGTAACGTGACTTGATTGTTTAGTGTTCAACATACGAGTACACTGTGGCTTCCTGTCAAAGCAGTCTTCCGATAGATATTTCCGCTAATATTTTTGTTTACGATCGATGTCAAAATATTATAAATTCGAATTATTATTTTACAAATATACATAATATTATATACAAAATGTGTAAATGTGCTCCTATTCTCTAACGATCGTTCGTAAACATCCATAGAAATATACCAAACTATTTTGTCTTAAATTTATATTAGTGTAAAAGATTTATTTTCATTCCAATGTCGATACAATTTTCCCTTAATTACCTGCTAATTGTGAAATGTATTGAAAGTGATTAATTTGAAGCAATTCGTAGCGTAGATAGCGATTCGCGCCCCGTAGCGTAGCATGTAAGTGACGTCATCGTCAAGGCGAGATGCGGCGATACATTATTTTTCTAATGCTTTCCTTCCATTGTGAGCAATAACGTTGATTTGATCGTAGTGCCTTCGGCTTCGTTCGGCAATAGATGTGGGATACATAAGTATGGCCGCTGCGAGTGCTTTACACGATATTTTTACAGGTGATAGAGGAACTTACCGTGTTCGTAACAAAGTAGAGTTAATGGTAAAACTATTTTGTAGTAACAACTTAATAATGAGATAATGTGGCTGTCTAATCGTTGCATTTTTCACGCATGATTTTAAAATTTAAATCGAAAATAAAGTTGTAGATGTTCCTAGTATAACTCACTTCGACATTCTTGACATGTGTGATATGCCTCCTGTAGGAGGTCATATGCCTTGCGAAACGCAAAGCGAGATATATCCGAGCAGATCGAGAGCACAAAATGCATATTGGGAAACCGATTCATTAAAACCAAAATAATTCGAAATTAAAAATCATGTCGATAAGTTGAAGTGTTAAGTAATTGTTTTAAATTAAGTCGTATGTTATAAGTGATTGTGCAGGTCGTTTTGGAAATGAATTTGGGAGAAATAGGTATGGTAACAAATCGATGGCTAGATATAAGACTTAGGATTACATAGATAGGTTAGAATAGTAAAAAAAAATGTTTCGACGCTAAGATACTATAGAATAGAGACGTAGAATAATATATTCGGCGGGGGCTCGGGGCGTGCGCGCCGCCGCCGGCTCTAGAATAGTTTCCTTTATTAGTTTATTAAATAATTTAATTTGAATGGACTGAAGCCGCGCCCCGGGAACGCGCCCGCGCCCGCGCTTCCCCGCCCTACCTCCTAAGCAAAACTAAGAGAATTAGTGTCAACACATTCTTGCGGATAAGTTTCAGTTGGACGAGTTTGCTTTCACCTCTTTTGTTATGTAGTTGAATAAGTGTAAAGAAAGAAAATTAATTGAAAAAAAAAACTGTCGGAAGTGTCGATACGATTGTTTGTCCAATGTGTATTATTATAGGGTGGCGTTCTACCCGGCAGACTAGTCTAGATCTTAGTTTAGAATAGATAAAAATTTAGTTAGGTAGCCTAGGAATACGAAATGCAAAAACATAAAACTTCATAAAATGTAAAAAAAAATGAAATGAAATTGTTGGTAAGAAAGAAATATTTTTAAGGGACATGTTGCTTCGTTGTGTTATGATGTGGGGTTTGGCATAACTATGATAATAGTGTAAAGCATTTCTCTCAGAGAAACACATAGAGGAAAGTTATGTATCTATTTTGTTACAAAGTGTTTGCAAGTTTCTATATAGTGCTATGAGCATTTTACGTGACCCGCATTATTTATAGTTATGCTGAATGGAAAAACTAAAATAATATATAAATAAAAACAAAATGGTACTAAGAAGCATGTTTTATTGTGACGAGTCATGTTCCTTTGCATTGAACATATTTTGTAAGAGCAAATGATTGAAATAAAACAAGCAAAACCAAATACTGTCTTTTCATTTATACAATAACCTAATTGAAACAAGCTGAATGTAACCCGACACTATATAAGAGATGCCTTCGCTTTCTCTTTTATTTTTTATTTTTTTATTGTATTTTACTAGAAGATTCGTAAACAATTATGAAATATAAAAAACTCTACAGACTTTCAAATTATGTTATTGAAAAAAAAAATAACAACCTAACTTTATTTCAAGAGTTATTACAGATTTACGAAAAGAATACAAAAATAAACAACAAAAGTGACACATTTCCGAAACCATCCACATTTCCAAACATTTACAGTCAATGTCCCGCACTTCACAATTAGGTTTATCAAAAGTGACATCTTTATATTGTCCTCCCACTCATTGTCTTTGACAAAAACAGAGACAACGGCATATGTATGTCACTGCAATAGTTTCCTCTGTCACTTGATATCTAATCATGCAGATGCCGTTGCATGTTTAGCTTTGAATATTCTAACGGTGTTGTCGCAGGAGCCGCTGACTAAAAGAGCTGGGTTAGACCAGTCACAACAGAGCACTTTGTCTTCGTGACCTGTTAGATCATACAGCGGTGTTCTTGGACTGAAATACAAATAAATTGTCTATTAATAATGTCAAAAGACAGTGCTTTAGTGTGGGTTTCTCATATCAAACATATTTTATCAATTTATTCTTCATTTCAATTGAAAATTGGGAAAGGATTAATCGAGCACATATTATAAGTGTGAAGTAGGTATTAGATGATTATCAAACCAGTAATTTCTAAGCATTAAAATGTTTACAAAAATCACAAAACTTTAAATAAATATTGATAGGTAAAGGTTCGCTACCACTGGTTTAGGGTAATAGATACTTTAACAGTTTTACTAACCTCCTCGTCTCCCATAGTTTAACCTGTCCATCATAGCCTGCTGAGAGGAAGAGCGTGTCTCTGGTGGTGGACCAGCGCACAGACTGGACCCAGCCCGTGTGCGACGTAAATGTTGTTTTCACAATACTTTCTAAAATACAAATAATATAAACATTATCATAATCTCATTTAAGTTTTTTTACATTGTATTAGTGTTAAGAAAATACTATTTACCTGTGGATCTTGGATCATAAATCCTGACATGTCGGTCAGCTGAAGCAGTAACAATGCTGTTGTTAAGCGGTGACCAATCAGCGTCAAAGAATGCTTTGTTACCTAAAATTTTAATTTAATACATAAGCCATATTTTTAATTGCTTGAGGCTAATATTTAGTACATATTACCACAGTTTAAACATAAGCTTAAAATACATACCAGCAATTTCTTGTTTAATTCCTCCAAGTTCACAGTCCCATAGCTTCAGAAGATGGTCCCAGCTGCTAGACAGTAGTGTGTTGAAGTCTACCCATTTGACCGCAGACACTGCTTCTCTGTGGCCTTTCAATGTTGACTTTGGTGTCTATTAGATAAACAGGAATGTGATTAAGATCATAACTAAAGACTTGCATAAAAACAACAGAGTGTGCAAGCTTGAAGTATTTAAACAAATTTAAGTGTATATCTTATTTAGACAATTTTAAAATTAATAATAATATGATATTAAAATTTTAATATGGGATTATCATACTCTAGAATTTCCTTGTTCTGGTTTACTCCTCTTTTTCGCAGGCACATTGTCTTCATCTGTCAAACCTGAAAGTAATATTTAACATTTTACTTTCTAAATATTTGACTAAATTAGAAATGGATCAAAAAACAATCTATAACTTACTAGCACTCCATAAACATATGTTATTGTCCCAACTGCCAGTAGCAAAATGCTTTGCATCAACTGCCACAGCAATACACTCTACACCTTTATCATGTCCTCGACAAGTGACTACACAGTCAACGGAATTGCGTGCCACATTCCACACCCATAGCATAGCTGATTGATCATGTGAGCAACTGAAACATTGTGCTCAAATGAAGTAAAAATAAACCAGCGAGCATAATGGAAGACTGAGACTGAAATTCTATAATATGGACAGCATATTCTCTTGGCAACACTTTGTCATTATCATATTAAAAATTAAATATGACATATATACTATATCTATATGTTCTGCTTCTGTACCTCTTTCTAGTTGTAAACTTATACAATATAAGATATTAAAAATCATAAATCCTTCTTTGAAAATGTTATTTGTACTATAATCAGTAACATTCTACATGAGAATATATTTTTTAAATTCAATAAAAAAATTCTTGTAATACTACAACTTGTAATTTGTATTCTCTATTTTCATTTAATATATCAAAAGAACTGTACCTTGCAAAACTGGCTTGTTCACCATCATTTGATACCCACGAAACACCCTTGACAGGTGAAGTGTGTCCAGGAATGGCCAGCTTATGTTGACCTTTAGCAGTCCAAATGTGGATGCTATTATCATAACATCCTGAGAGTATCCTAAAATTGATAAATATTTGAAAATTTAACAAAAAAATGTTACAAACAAATGACTTTTTTTAATTGAAATTAATCAACATACCAATTGCCATGAGTATGGACTGAGGATACCCAATCATCATGCATTAAACATTCTTGAGGTTTAGGGGCTGGGAATCTTTCAAGATATTCGATTTCTAAAGTATCTTCTGTTGATATCCCCTTTTCTTGCAAATGTTCTGCTATAGATGTACAAAGTAATTCGCCACATACCAAAAAATCAAATTCAACTGCTTTCAGAATCAAAGGTTTTGTCTCTTTTAAAATTGCATTTACCAAAGTATTAAGTTCCGCTGACTGAACATTACTTTGAATTGCGTAAGGACTATCTGGTACTGCATATCTGTAAATTAAAGAAAATGTTCACTATGCACGTGTAATGTAAAAACAAACACGCCGGATAGATAAAAGTTGCACCTACTGTTCCTGTTTTGTTACAAATCGCACTTGTAACTGAACTTCGGCTTGGTCTGTAGCCATTGCTTGTAAAACAATTATCTATTGTAAAATCACCAAAAGCTACGATTTTTAATTATAATTTATAAAATTTTATAAAAAAGTACTTTTATAACCACAATATGCAATGAGAGCGATGACATTAGAATGACATTGACAATTTCATACCAGCATTTACATCATTTTTTTTTAATTTAGTGACCTGGTACGATAGACCTTAAAATCATACTTTATAGATCAGATCACATTTTTCATCAAATTTTTTTTCACTTTTTTCCAACCACTTATGCATCTATTATGCCCTGCAACATGCCTCTGAGTACAAAGCATGAAGCATATTTTTTTAGTTAGCAAAATCTTGGGTTAATCTAAGAAAACATTTTGACATCTTGCAACATAATACGACGTCTTTTAGAAGACAAAATTTAGGTTATGTGTCACATTTTCAAATGTTTAAGTTCCCAATGTGCTAATATTTTTAATATAATTCATAATGGGGGTGAAGCCAAACGATAATGATAATCCAGATAACAATTATGTATTCACTAGAAAAGCTGGTAGAAGTATTATAGAGCGTCGCCCCGTGTTTGCACCAGACGGCGAGTATGTAAACATGAAATAAACAAATCTTAACAAATATTGCCCATATATTGAATTAACCGTGCTAATGTTGATTAATTTTTTTAGATCGGTACTGTTGATTGTAGAAAATCTAGTAAGGGTATATAATATACAAACGGGGGACTGTTCCCGTACTCTAGAAACAGAAACCCCTGTTAGAGAACTAGTGGCTGTACAATTCCCGGAAAATGAAGAATACAATTTGTATGGATGTTCTAACTCAGGCTGCGTTACAATTTGGACGTGGGAGAATGGGGCAGTGCTAAGAGAAATTGTAAGTATAAGTGTACCTCACTATTTAATCATTGAATACAGAAATAGTCAACAGCATTTGTAAATAATATTTTAGATTTATATCCTTGTCCCAGAGTGCCTGTAAGACAGGTCTGACAATGCTGTATTATTGAATCAATTTTTAATTTCAATTTAATTAATAAAACATTAAGTTTGTCATTTTCATCATTTTCAGAATCTTCAACTTCCAGAAGAAATGAAAATAATGACATTTGATTTACTTGATAGTAATGAATGTTTTATCACAGCATTTAGACCATATAATAGAAATCTTTATCTTGCCACCTACTCGGTGAAGACTGGAAATTTAATTCATGAATACATAGATACCAGTCCATTTTATTACAATATTGTAAGAGTTGCTGTTGGCTGGTGCTATGGTGATAGATTTGCAGCTATTGTAAACGGCACAGCAAGGGTTTACATACAGAATTTATATCAACCACATGTTAGAACTGAGTAAGTCCCTTTTTAATAAAAGATTTAATTACCAGAAATAACTTCTTGCACCATAAGAAAAACGTTAATTTTTTTTCAGAATTGTAAATCATAACAAATTTAGAATATTGTCAGTTGCGGCTCACTATAATGATAATGCTATCGCAGTAACTGATGCATTCGGACGTGTTACTATATTCAGAGGGAATTTATATGACTACAGGAATGTTGCTAGGGAAGTTTTACATTGGCATTTTCTACCACCACTTGCTGTGTGTTTTTCAGTACAAGGTAATATTTTTATACTTACAGAATAGTTGATGGCAATTTTTGGTAATTAAATTTCAAGGATATGCTTTCTGGTAATAGAAATTCCCAATTGCCTTGATTACTTGTGAATTTAAGAATTATAGTAAAGAAGCAAAATGAATATTATAATACTTATCGCAATATGAATTATATACAAAAAGTTAGTTAAAAAAATATTGAACTTTGTTATAAAGTAGCTATTTTTAATGTTCAATAGTTTATTTTGTTTTGTCTTTTCAGGAAATTATGTAATGTCTGGTGGAATGGAAAAAGTCTTAGTGAAGTGGACTTTAGGTCACTTGGCAAATAAAGCAAATGAGAAAATCTTCATACCTCGACTGCCAGGCATGATAAGATTTATTACAGCCAACAGTTCCCATGTCGCAATCACTTTGACTAACAATTGTAAGTTATATTTGAGTATAAAAAATATATTCAGACCTATACTAATATTAAAAAGTACAAAATAAGCTGATAGACCTACTGTCCAACCAACTTGTACCAAATTAATGTGTATGATCTGGAAGCTATTATAGTAAAATTATAAAAAAAAAAAGTTGTGTATATGTAAAGTTTTTCACTAATTGTCGGCCACATCTCCGTCCATGAGGATTTAAAAAAAAAATAACTTCTTAGTCATAAATCTATGGACACATACCACAAACCCTTATAGGATCACTTTGTTGTCCGTCCATCCGTCTGTCAAGATCCTTTTGTAATATTCTGTTAATTTAGTCTGAATATTTTGTTATGCATTGTGTCACCAGTCGTTAAAGTATAATTTGTAACTGAGTTATATTTTGTTGCAGCGGTTGTGATAGCAAGTGCTCAATTACGTGTGTTGTCGACTTTATTGGAATGTGGGGGATTATCACCGGTCGCTCGAGCTATCAACACAGCACTGGTCTATCACCGGCCGTTAGATGCGTTGCTTATGAGTGGCAGGACTGGTCATTTGCAGTTGTACTCCACCGCATCTGATAAGGTGCTTTATAATGTAAGTATCGGGTGAATTGAATATTTATTTCCAGGCTTAAAAACCTTTTTAATGGGTAATAAAATCATTTTCTTTAAAAGGTACCTACCTTTTAAAGAAAATGATTTTACAGGGGTAAAGTTATGTTTTATATTTGACTTCTCATCTTCAAGTTTTAATTTTTCGTGCGTTCTACGAAATATGCAATTGAATTTTCGTAGTGAAGCTAGAATTTTTTCTTGACAAAACAGGCTGCTGTATGCCATAGTGTATAACTGAACTTATCCTTTGCAATCTGTCTTAATATATTATTATTATCTTTATAATCTGTGTTGTGAATAATACGAATATTTCCTTTCTTCCTTTTTCAAACAGATTGATATAACAGAAATAAATAGTACACCGTCTGAAAGAAAGAATCTGCTTCCACTGGAGACAGAGATCACATGTGTGACCGTTAGTGGAAACGGCACTTGGCTTGTCACTTCTGAATACAGGAACGATGGCATCACATACCCAGAAGAGAAGCTAAAATTCTGGTTGGCACAGAAGAAAAACCCAAGTCCTTTTAAACTTAACACGTGCGTCAATCTGTCACACGGTGGATGTAATGTTGTGTCTTTAGCTCTCAACTTTAGGGGTCATTTTTGCGTGTCAGCGGGCACCGATCAGAAAATAAGAATCTGGAAGAGGGAGTCAACGATATTGCCGCATAAGAAAATTATAACATGGAGTTGTGTGACCGCTTGCTATTATTCATCGGGGACTGCACAATTTCTATCTCATAATATTTTGAATAATTTTAAAATCGGTGAGAAAGTTGATAAAGGACGTGTTGAAACTATGCCTTATTTGACAGAAGTTGGTAGAGATGATGATATAATCGGAAGAATATTGAATATACATAGAGAGCATTCATTTTTTAATAGAAGAATGATCAATGACAGTGTTGAGAGACATGATGAGTTCAGTATGGGTGGTGTGGCGATATCACAGGATGGATCTTTAATAGCCGCGTGGTTCGGCTGCAAGCTGACTCTATGGGACTCGCATTTGTGCAGTTTACGATCAACATTAACACACCCTGCATTACGTCCTAAAGGCATGCAAGTTCAGTTTGGAAGCAATGATGCTGCACATTATGTAAGTATTTTTAGAATAGTTATCTCCCTAATTGATTCCCCTTAGTGTAGATTTGATGTAAGAAAATTTGGACCACATAGTTATAACAATCTGAATAATATACATCAAATTATAACAAACAGTGCGAACAAGAATTTGCATAAGCCATAAACACTATTCATTTCTTATGTAATCTACCAAAGTACTATCAAAACCTGTTCAATGGTTTAGGAACATGTAGAAGACAAACTAAATCTCACTATAATAAAATTATAAATGAAAATGTTTGGATGGATAGATGTTTGTTAGAAGGTATCTACAGAACAGATCTACAGATCTTGATGCAGGCATAGATGTAGAACATAGTCTGAGTTATGGTCAGTCGCTGATAAAAAAATGAAACTAACCATCTAATTTGCAGTTGGTGTGTACAACGGAGCGTTGCCTGGCTGTGTGGAGTCTGTTGTCCCTGACAGTGAAGTGGTATGTTCAGCTGCACCCCACCTGCCTCGCTGCTGACCCCGCCTCCAACAAAATGGCCATCACCACTGTTAACAATGACGGTAAGTTAATCAGTTGTTTTTGTATAATATATATACGATACAAATCATATTATACAATCAAATAAAATAAGTAAAAGAAAGTATTCGTAACGTCATCAGCAAATTTTGTATTAGATTTATACAGCGCCTCTATCGGGCGTATAGTGAAACGACATATGTCATACAAATTTTAACATAATTTATCGAATACCATAAAGGAAAATTAAAGGTACATTTAGACTAAAATAATAAAATGGTAAATAAGTCTTTTATCAAGTTATCCTAAAATATAGTGAGATAAATGAATTAATCCGAAAAAAAGGACCAAACCCTTGTATGAATAAATAAAATAATTAGCTTTAGATTAGATTTAACCTGAGGTCCTTCTAGGAAATCTTCTCAACTAAATTTATAATTTATTTCAGTGTACATCTTCACGCCGCACAGTTCGACTCCCCTAATGGTACACAAGGGTCTGCTGGACCCTCGCTCTGGCGTCTTCAGGCAGTGCACCTTCGCTGCAGCCGCCAAAGACCACGTCAGGCTTTATGTCATGAGGAATAACTCCGTAAGATTATTATACTTTTTCTATTTTTGTTAAATGTACAGTCTATGTCAAGAAAAGAGTATTTTGAACATACTCTGAAAGCGATATATAATTTGCCAACCTTAGTCATTCTCTCTCTCTCTCACTCACCTACTTGTAGACATATTCTTTCTCTTTCATGTAACAATTAGTGAAACGTGACGCGTCCTTGAAATCTCACCTTCGATTCTCGTGTATTGAAGTTTCACTTATATCGTTTTTTACAGGAAATCTACTGCTTAGAACCAGCTCAGTCA